ATAGCCATTACGCTAACTGCTGGTCCTCCACAAGCACAATTTATAATGGTGTATCTTGGGCCTGCCCTGTAGCCTAGTTGTCAAGGTAGTCATATCCCACACGGTCAACTCCAATTTGAATCCCAGCCCCAGCAACTTTAAACACATGCTGAGTGCATACGTGTGCATGCACAAAATCCCAATAAGATGGAGAAGTGAAGAAGGGATGGTGGTGGCATGACCATGTCCCACTAGGGACTACCTTCATCTCCCAACTCTCACCTCTCCATTCTGTTTCTCCCCAGCAAGCACCCACACCCTCTGGCAATTAAAAAAAAAATTTAAAAATTAAAATGGTGCACTTCAAGGAGCTGAATGGTGGTGCATGGTAAGATGTTCTGTGAGGCCAACCTACAAAGGAGAGTTCTGGGTTTGCATCCAGAAACCTCCATGAGTACAGGGGACAGTGGGGCTGGTTGAGGCTGGGCTGGATCATGGCACTGAGACCCTATTGAAGATTCTCTGTCTCTCTCTCTTTCTCGGAAGAAGTAAATAAATATATTCAAAAATAATAATAATGGTACACTTCAGCCTAAAAACAGCTTGAAATCTAGGGCTTTCTATGGAGCTTGGACATGCTGTCAATGGTCTTCTTAAGAGGTGTAAAGTCATGAGGGAAACACACACAACCACCATGGGGGCAAAAGACCCGGATCTGGGTCCCAGATGTGCTAAGGCCAGCTCAGTTCCATCTTCTCTTTGCTATTTCCTCACTGGTAAAATGAAGACAATCGACTGTGCTCTACCTACCTGGAAGGACCGGTGGGCGATTAAAATGGAACACTGTTTGCTAACGCTGTACTCATCAAAGGCAAATCTAACGTAGGCATTTTGAAACATCCATTTGTAGTAAGAAGTTCAAGCTAGGAAGAGATCAGATAGACACCAGGGTTGTTTGAAAGATACTGGGGGAAACAAAAAGTGTTAGTGAGCCTTCAAATCATTGAATGTGACAACCTCCCAATGTCTCCTGTGTGTCCAGCCAGAGGAAATTGTCCTACTAGCACGCCTAGGGAATCCTCCTCCAATAGTAATTCTAAGCAACAGGGCCAAAGGGAGTTTCGAGTTTGTTTTGCTCTTAAGTGTCCTTGGCCCTAGGGCTAGCATTTGATAGCCCCTGGCTATTTAGAGCTGGCCAGTTCCCTCTGGCTCACTCCCCTCCTGTATAACTGTAGGGAATCTATGCAACCTCATCATTACTGATGAAGCAAGGCAACTTGAATGCACGCCTCTTACTGGAGGGAACAGTGATGTTCTTTCTGTTTCATGGAAAGGTCTTGCAAAACACTGGTTCCGATGTCTTCTTGCATGAATCATAGCCTAAGGAATGAAGAAACACTTCTGAATGACAAACAAGGAAAAAAGAAGAGGAAGAAAGTTTTGATGATGTGTTCTTGGCACACAACCCCACGTCAGTTTACATGAGCAAAATCAACATGAGCTCTTCACATTGGGTATGGTAGGAAAGGACAGGAAAAAAAATAAATAACTAGAGCTCATTCTTTTTCCTTTTTTTCTGATCGAAAAGATAACAGGGCACACAAAACTCAATAAAATTAGTTCCTAGGAAGAAAGCAATATCCCCATTTTTTTAAAGAATTGTTTCTTTCATTTTACTATTATTACTTAATTTGCTATAGGGCATGTGCGCTCACTAGAGAGAGACAGAAAGAGAGAGAGGGAGAGAGAGACAGGGAAAGTGAGAAAGCAAGCCTCCAGGTCTGAGACTCAAACCATGGTTAGCCATGTGGAAGTTCAGTGCCCCAATAGCTACATCACCTGCTGACCCACAATATCAACATTTTAAAGTATATTTTTCCAAATTTTGTTTTTAATACTGAATTAAGAGGTGGATATACATAAAAGGTCACATAATGTAGGAAGCCTCTTCAAGAAGCTCATAAAAAGATGGAATTAAGGACAAGTTTATTTTGTCGCCAAAAAAAATTGAAGTCCTTGCTAAATGCACATTTTTGTAAATTTTTTGAAGATCCTGCAGAAATGTTATTTCACAAGCCACTTTTTTTATATCATGAGTATCTAGAAGAGCTTTATTTATGATGGTGAATGGAGCTCTAGAACACTACTCTTAGAGCCGAAGTCATAGTCAGCCATAAGAGAAAGCATAATTTGTTAGTCAATCTCACAGAAGGACATTTAAGTAGCTTCCGAAGTTTTGCTTCTATAAACAATGCCACAATAAACATTCTTACATATTCATCATTGTGCATTTGTCCAATTATTTTCCTGGAACAAATTTCTAGGAGAAGAATGATTAGGTCTAAAATTGTCTGTGTTTTAAATATTAATGAATATCTGAATTGCCCTGCAAAAATGGGATACCAAGTCCAATTACCCTGGCACTGTTTGTGAGAAGCCCTTTCTTCACATCTGATCAGTAGTAAGTTTTATCATTTGTTTTACCTTTTTCCGATCTGATCCATAGAAAATCATATTTCCCTGTCATTTGGGAGGTACTTTTTTTCATTTCAGTGTGATGTGAAATTATGGAAATGATTCTTTTCCAACATACGTATACGACCAGCAGTGACAATAGCTAATTTTCTGAGCATTGACAACTTTCTTTTTTTTTTTTTTAACAAATTCTTTTTTTAATGGTTTTATTTAACTTTATTTATTTATTTATTTTTAATTTGATCAGAGAGGGACAGAGAGAGAGAGAGAAGGAAAGTGAGACAGCAAGCCACCAGGTCTGGGACTTGAACCATCATGCCACCTGCCGGCCCTAGTGCTGACAACTTTCTATGCAGTGCCAGACACTGTGTTAAGCACTTAATGGAAGCATTTCCTTTAATTCTTATGATAATCCTCAAGATGGGTTAAAATAGGGATACCTATTTTCTATGGAAAAGCAAATGCTTAGAGAGGTTGATTGACAGAAGGTCATAGAGCCAGGAAGCAGTGAATCCCGAACTCAGCCCAGGTAGCTCTGTCCCCAAGCCTACACTGTGGAGAACATTATACTCCCATTATTTCCACACATGAGTGTGCAATGTCATTTGGGTCTTGTTTATTTTTTTTATGTTTCCATATGTAAGTTTTATGAGTTTATGTCCTTTTCCCATTTTTAATTGGAGTGCTTTTTAATTCATTGGCAATACCTCTTTGCATAGTAAGAATATTGGCTGTCATTTTTGCCACTATTTTTTTTTTCTCCAGGAAATGTATTTATACCCAATTTACAACTTTCTCTTGCTTAGTGTAACAGCGTGAGTAGTGGTTCTACTGAGCCCTTCAACCTAATGCAGTACCCCTGACATTGATGAACACAAGAAGGTTAGTCAGGCTGATAGTTTTAGATCTTTCTGGAAGCCCAACTATGGACAGACTCTAAGAGGTTTGAATAAGAGAATACACTGCAATGAGGGAACAGGAAGAAGTAACAGAGAGAAGAGGCAAACTAAGCAATAAACCCTCCAGGAAGTCTTTATAGGAAGGTGGTCTTTGTCTGAGGTTTTTGCTTTGTTTTCTTTTGTCTTTATAAGGCTTTTTCTACCACCGATCCCCAAGAACATATGCAGTGCAGTTAACAGAGCTCAAAAATGTCTTTTCATTCTTAAATTTAAGTCACTCTTTATCAAAGTGAAAGCTACATTTTGGTTACGGACATTTTCTGGAAAGTACATGTGCCAAAGAGGGGACGTGGAGACATAGGCCCTATATTGGGTCCCACCAGGCACTCACTAGCCCTGTGGACATAGGGGAGCTGCTGGGATCTCTTGGCTTCAGTTTCCTCGTTAGTAAAATGGGGGTGATAATAACCACGCCACAGATGGCTTGGAAATTACGTAAGGAAACATTCCCCAAGTGCTGCCATGTGTGGCCCTGAGCAGATGGCCCACTGAAGCTTCTCAGATATTCCACATACCAAAGTCCCTGTGGGCGCTCCATGGAGAAATAGAAAGACTTGTTGTGACTCAGCTGCCCTGCTATTAAACCAGAACTTCAGTTTACATCTCCAAAACTCCTCAGAGATACTGTCCGAGCTAAGCAGCAAGACAGTGGGACATTACCTAGCTCCAGTCTGCTTTCTCGCTCACCTGCTGCCTAGGCCTGAAATGGACAATTATTTCCCTCAGGGGCTATTCCTGAACTATTCACGGTCTCAGAAGCTTCTGTCTTTGGCTTAGATCATACCGGATAACAGGGTTACAATTTAGAGAAATACTACTAGAACTTATTAGAGAAAATTTTCCTCCCCCCCAAAAGTTAGTACTTTTTGGAAGTCACAGATGAGAAAGGTGATCGTCTTGTTTTTTGGGGAGGTTTTTAATATAGGGCACATGTGCTTGCCAGAATGACAGAGAGACAGAAGGAAAGAAATCATCCCCTGTGGGGAGATGGCCACACCACAATCCCTTCTCCTCCATTCTCCTCTTGGGATCTTGAGCACGCACATACACATGTCCAGCATGAGTTTAAGCCACCGGATCTAGGACTCAAACCGATGTTGACTACATGGGAGTCCAGCAACATAGCCATTACGCCAACTGCTGGTCCCGAGAATGGTGATCATCTTAATTTACTATAAGGGCCCAAACAATCTCTCATTTGCTAATGCCTACTTGTTAACCCCCAGTCATCCCTCTGAACACGAGCCACGACTCTCCTTTGACCTCATGCCATGTTTACAATCTTCGTATCCTTCCTTTAGAAGAGTATATGGAAGACTGAACGACATAGACCTACCTCGTGTGCTGTGCCCTACGTATCCTCACAGCAACCTCAGGAGATGTCTATCGTCATCTACTTAACAAAGGGGGAAACAGATTCAGAGGGTTGAGGAGTCCCCAAAGACCCATCATTGGACAGTGACCAAATGATCCACTCAAGTGCCACATCATGCCCTTGACTTTTTTATATATAATTATTTATTTAATTGTATTTATTTTAATTTGACCAGAGAGCAGAGAGGGAACGTGAGAAAGCAAGCTGCCAGGTCCGGGACTCAAATAGTGGTCAGCCATTTGGGAGTGTCCAGCACCTTAACCACCACTCCATCTGGTGGTCCCCATGCCTGTGACTTTTGCACTTCACAAAGCTCTCTCATGTGCACTTTTTTTTGTATCTTCCCCAAATCTTTCAAAGGGGCACTGTTCTTGTCTTCTCCATTTACTGACGTGAGGCTGGACAAGGCTGCAGAATGTACTTGTGGCTCTGCAACCAGGATCCTAGGCAGGGACTTACACTCCACCAGGCAGCATCTCCCCTCCACTGCCAGGCTCCAAAGTCTCCTGTTGAAGGAAAATAAAAATATTTATAGACTGTTTTTGTGACCCAAAATAGTCTACTTAGTAATATTTCTGGATACTCTACAAAAGCTAAGTCAGCGTGGAACAACTCACCGGAGAGTCCTGAGTACAATGGTCTTAGACACCCCAACACTCCTCCCATGGAGGGAGGGGAGGTCCTTCTGCTTCGGCAAGAAAGTGTAGCTTCCTCAGGAGGTCATGTCCACTGTTGAGTTTACCTGTAAAATTTGTCAACACAATCAGCTCCTGAGGGCCACATAGCAGAGGTAAACCTAAGTACAACTCTTCAAGGAGGAAGTATAAAAATGCAGCCAAAACAAATGTTGCCCGAGATGGAGGATTAGAATAAAACTTCTAGAAGAGCTGGCACAATGAAACACACATACCCTGTGTTTCTCAAGGGCAAGAGACACAAAGGGCAGCTCAACTGCAAGAGAATGCAGCAGCACGGCCAGCTCACACCCATTTTAGGCGGCTTTCAGTGAGCTATCATGAAGACTTTGGAGCATTTATTCTAAAATCATAGACTTTTTGAGCTGAATAGGATCCTTCAGCTAATCCCCTCAATCCCTGTATTTAACGTTTGATGGAACTAATGTTCCAATTGGTTCAGGGACTTGCTCCAAGTTACATAGCTGGTCAGTCACAGGAAAATGGCCAGTAGTCAGGGGAAGTGTTCTAATAACATTTTCATGCACATTTTTAAGATTTCAGATCAAGGCTGGCAGGTGGCATGGTGTTTGGAGGTGCTGGAATCTCACATGGTGACCACGGTTCAAGTCTCAGACCTAGTGGCTTTCTCTGTTTCTCTTCCCCCCTCTCTGGTTAAATATAAACAAATAAATAAATAAATAAGTTAAAATAAAATAATTTTTAAAAAAAACTCAGATGAAATTTTCTATTTTTTTCCTTTCTCCAGCAATATATGTTATATATACACACATACACCTGCATAAACATGCACCATACACACATACATGCATACTCATGTACACACACAATCATGCCTATACGCATGTTCATAAGTATGTGCAAGTTCATGCACTTGTGTGTGCATGCACATATACACAATGCATGGTTACACTCATGGGCATATATGCATTTGCACACCTATACTTGCAAGCATATACACATACACACATGTATGCATACACACACTTACACTGTGCACTTGTGCATGCCCTTTCAGGCATATATGCATGCTTCCGTGCATGCATAGGCATGCACACACATGTACTTGCACATATGCACATACTTGCATATGCACATTCACACACATACTTCATCCAATGCCTTAGACTCCCTGATGGATATTTAAGCAGGACTATGCCTCTGGTAGCACAGCTGATCATGAAGTTTACCAAGAGGATCACTGTGTACAGGAAGGACCTAGCTCACCTTCAGCTTCAGATGTATATCCCTGTTCCACTTACTGATGGACAGGCCAATAGTGGTATCAACCTATCAGGCTGCTAAACGATAGAGTAGAAAAATGTTCACCGAAGATTCCACGTGGTGTCTGGCACGTATCTGGTACCTAACATGATCCTCACTGTTCTCATCTTAGATAGGATGTGTCATTTCTAATGGGGCAGAAGATGGTGGTGTCAAGAACAGGGACTTTGTGATCAAACCACCCTGGGCCAAGACGTCTACTTTGCTCATGTTTTGGGCAGCTTGCTCAGCCTCACTCAGTTCTGGCATCCATGTGTGTTGGGGTCACTGTCGGGAGTGAATGAAGCAATGTATGTTGGCTGCTTGATCCTGGGTGAACGAGCACAGAGTGCTAGCCAGACAGAAAGGCACCCAGGCAACAATTTGCAGGAGGTGAAGAAAACACACCATTCCACTTCTTCTTTTCCAAAAATCCAGGTCCACGGTTTCCTTCTTGAGGGTGAATTTAATAATCCTGTGGCACCAAAGTATTGGGTGTGGTATGGAGTCAGCACTCATCCACTTCCATAGAAGGAAAGTGTCTTCAAAACCTTCCCCAAATTCATGTGATCAGGAAGTCTTTGCATTGACTCAGTCGGTCTTTTCCTGGTAGATAATCAGCACTGGATGCCCACAAGATTACTTTCCACTGTTTGATTGGTTTTCTAAGCATCCTCAACTCCTCGCATCCAGGCTCCCTCTTCTCATGAAGACTGTAATGCTCTAAGAGGCAACAATCACTTCTGCCAGCAAAGAGAACATTCTAACCCAGCAGGAACTCAAGTTCTTGCTTCCATCCTAGCTAAACCTGAAGCAAGGTCCCTGAGTGTTTTAAGAGATTCTGCAGAAGTCACTGTTTCTCAGAAGTTCAATTTGGTGGGTAGTTAATAGCCTGGAAAAGCCCAGTCATGATGGTGCAGGTAATAGTATGCTATTGTGCAATAGTGAAGCCACACAGGAAGCCTGGGTTTGAATCCCAGGTCTACCTGATTGTGCCAAACCTGCTTATGATCCTGTGCACTGCTACAGGGGTGGTGACAAGGGTAGGGGTGGAGAGGAAGGGAGAACACAGCATTGTGAGACCTTGATAAGGGTGCCTCTCTTTCTCTTGCTCTTTCTCTCTCATGAAAGAAAGAAAGAAACTTTTTTAAAAGCTTTATAAAAGGCAGAACCATCATGATTTTCCCCTCTTGTCTCACACTGTGGGCAGGAGCTTCTCTTCAGGGGCCAAGTGCACGAGGCCATATTCCCTCAGGAGCAGCAAGGCAGACAGTTTGCGGAATGACCTGATCTAGAACAAACTTGAACCCTCTGGGTCTCACACGTTTGACACGTGTCTGGTGAAGAAGCTCATTTCTATAGTCATCCTTGGACTTAGGAAATATTCAAAGCAAGAGTGATGAGAGACAGGAGGAAGAGCCATACGTTAAGAGGCTGAACTCCTATGAGAAGGTCCTTGTCAACAAGACTTAGTGTCAAGGAAGGCTCCCCACCCTGTCCCGCCCTTCACTGTCCACACCACACACACACATACTCAGCCTTTGCTAATATGAAGCAGCTAGTCCAGACATTTGGCCCAGCCTGGGTATCTTCAAGCTTGTCAACAGCTAAGTAACAGACAGACTCTATACAAGAAAAACGATTCTTATTTGGGAATAGGCATTGCAGCGTGGAATACACTTGCCATATTAAACTACAGACACATCCAGGGAGGAAAGGGGAGGCAAAGGTTTTTACCAGAAAAGCAAGGCTGAATTACAGAAATTGCTTCAGGATAATTGTCCTTGGCTAGCAGGATTAATAATAAGCATGGTGTCTTTCCAAGGTTACACAGACAGTCTCAGCACAAATGTCGTCACAGAAGGAGTCCTTGTGTCACACTGCAGTGGTCTTAGTGCAAGGCTGTGATTCTAGAAGAGTCCCTGGGACAGTTTTTGTTATGAGGTATATGTACTAGCGTGAGGCCTGCCCTTGCATGGCCTGCCCAGATCAACGTAGTCAGAGTTTAACACAAGTCGACACAAGTGACTCCATTTTAATTCTGACAACTGTCACAGGCTTAAATTATAAACATCATGGAAGTGACCTAAACCTGGGTGAGGCCTCTGATGTGGACATGTTACAGTTCATTGACTCAATGTCCCTCCTCCACAGGAAAAATGCAGGAAACTGCTAAAGATTTGACACCCTACAAAATACAGCTCCCGTGAATTATGCTCTAATCCTCTAAAATTGTCATTGTTTATTGTGCAGTGGTCTTGCAGTGACTATTTCAGGAACATTATCATATTTCATTTAATCCTCACTAGAACTCTTATTTCCCTACTGAGGAAACAGCTGCCAAGAGATTAAGTAATGAGATTACACTGCTACAAAGAGATAGAAACCCACGATTGGTATCAAAGAGACCTACATCCACTCGCCCTCTTTGCAACTCGCTAGCCAAGTATCCTTGAACAAACTCTTTGAACTTTCTTCTCATGTGTTAATTGAGGGATAGTAATATCTCCAAAAGAGTATGAGGAGGTCTGAGTTTGTTAAAATACAAGTAAATAAAATAACTAGAATTCAACGTACTGACTTGCTTACAGTCATTGCTCAGTGAAAGGTGACTCCTCTGACTTTGGTAGTGTCACCTGTTTTCTGATACTCTGTTCTAGTTCATCCACGCATCCCCTTCATGGCACTTTAAGGAAATGCAGGTGAAAAGAGAAAAAAAGAAAAGAAATGCAGGCAGGAGCCAGCAGATGAGTGGTTAAGGCTCTATACTTCCACATGGCCGACTGTGAGGTTCCAGTCCCGGACTTAGTGGTTTGAGAATCATGCCAGGTGCGTGTGCAGGCATGCCCAAAATCCCAGGAGGAGAATGGAGGAAAGGGATTATAGTGTGGTCATTTCCAAGGCAAAATACATATTATGAAAAAACAATGCCTATGATTCCAGACAAATTTTTATTGTTTTTTTTTCCTATTTCTGTGAAGAATCTCTCTCCTTTTCCTATTTGAATGCCTTTTATTTTGCTCTCTTATCCGATTGTGTTGGCTAGAACTTCCAGTATTATATTTAAAAAGAGAAGAGAAATTAGATAACCTTGTTCTATTTCAGTTTTCAGAAAATAGTCAGAAAGACGTTTGTACACCCATGTTTACTGCAGCCTTATTTATAATTGCTAAGACATGGAAACAGCTTAAATGCCCAAGAATTGGTGACTGGATTGAAAAAATGTGGTACATGTACACTATGGAATATTACTTAGCCATAAGACACAATGAGATCTTGTCATTTGATACAAAGTGGATGAATATAGATTTAATGCTAAGCAAAGTAAACAAGACTATGAACGATAAACACTGTATATCCCTGCTCAGTATATACCAGATGTCTGCAATCTATGGCAGACCTGAAGATATAATAGTAGGAAAGGCAAGTGTAAATACCAAAGACTATATGAGAATGCAGTAGAGAATGGCTGAAAGGGACACAGGGAAAAAAATATTTAACAGACATAAGAATGTAAAGTTCTCCATTGAAAATGATGTATATGGTAATATCCTTGATTGTCACGTGTTACATGCATACTTTGAATAATCATATTAGGGTCGGCCAGTGGGCATGGTGGTTAGGGCAACTGGATCCCACACGGCCAACAACACTGTTCAAGACCCAGACCTGGCAACCTAAAAAACACTTGGGGTACATGTGCGTACATGCCCTAAATCCCAAGAGGAGCATAGAGGAGAAGGTATTGAAGTGTGGCCATCCCCCCATGAGGGGTGTTTTCTCA